AATTAGGATGAACAATTATATAACAGGGAGTTTAAGCTTCACGTTTCCAGGAACGGCAAATGCGAGGTTTGGACTTTCTTGGCAAAATGTTAGTTGAACGTTTTCGTTTCATATTTTATTTCTTGCGTCGAAAGAATAATTATGTTTTTCAGTTTAAAAACAGCAAGTTCATTTACTCTTTATTGATTGCCTGATACCGTAAAATTTTTCTTTGGCTGACGTTTACCGTTTGACGTATAAAGCGAAGCTTAAACTCTTAATAATGCCATATGTATTTTATTAGATAGCCTATATAAAGTCGCTCCACGTAACATATTATGGCTGACATAAATTACCACAAGGTTTATGAAAGATTAATGAGTATTTTAAGTATAAATACTCACATCCTTCACAGACGATATTATCGGACCCTTGTCGCTGCAAAATATGATCTTGTTCAAGCATGTACGCAGCAATGCTTCCGTCTTCATCCTAAATAAGAAGTTTTATAAATAACCATTATACATGCAGGTTATTATATGCAAAAGGTACCTTTGTATGAAAACAAGGAAAATTTCCCGCCCTTCAAGGCTGTATCTTTAGAAATTAAAATAGAGCAATTTTAGTACGCAATGTAATCGAAAATATATTTAATAATACTGCTGTAAACAAATCACAGGATGTTTTTCTCATTTTAAGTGTGAACAACTTAACTTGATTACTTTCGACACCATTTTTCTGCGAAATTAACCAGCATTTGTCCATTTTATGTGGACTTTAGGTACTGTTTAATAAACGAGCAGGGGACGGTTGTTCAAAGCTGGGTTATAGTTTAACCCTGGGTTAACCAAAACTTCAAAGCAAACTTCCTGACAGCTTGTCCATAAATTTGGCCTAATTAGTATTCTTTATATAAAGAATACTAATAAGGCAGTATCTATTGTAGTCGTGTCCTCATTAGTATTCTTTATAATTATAAAGAATACCAACAAGGCAGTATATCTATTGAATTTGTAGTCGTGTTTGAAGCCGTTTAATAAACTCGCAGGTCGTGTTTTATTAGTTTAAAGCCACTCGTGCTGCGCTTTAAGCCTAATAAAACCAGCATGAGCTCCACCTTTGAATTTACCATATGAGTAAATTCTTAAACACGTCCGAATTTATCATTATGATAAATTCGCGGCAAATTTTGAATTTATCATAATAATAAATTCGCGGCATCTAACCCTAACCCCAACCCTAACCACTAACCCCTAACCCCTAACAACTAACCCCTAACCCTAACTTTTTTAACTTTTTAAATTTTTTTAACTTTTTTAAAAATCTAACTTTTTAAACTTTTCTTTCTTTTCAAAACTCTTTTAAAACTTTTTTAAAAACTATTTTTTTTTTAAAACTTGAAAAACTCCCCACCCCGCGCGATTTGGTTTTATGATTAACTCTATTGATAAATTCAAAATGTGCCGCGAATTTATCATAATGATAAATTCGGACGTGTTTAAGAATTTACTCATATAGTAAATTCAAAGGTGGAGCTCATGTTGAATAAAACACTCCTGCGGCCAGTTGTTCAAAGGTGGGTTAGCGCTAACCTTGGGTTAAAATTTAACCTGCTGTTTTAGTTTGTGTATTTATGTACGTCTGTTTATTTCAAAACTTCAGAGATGAAAACTCCTATCGACCCAGACAACATCTCTGAGGAAATTCTGCCTCATCTAGAGCATCAATAACAACCAGTTTTCTCTTAAAGCACTGCATTTACTCAATGGCTCTTCCAACAATTTATTAAATAGCTCGTGAACGGCTAGCTTAGCATTAGCTAACATACTTTGTACATATACCAGTCTCCCCTCCCACTACTTTATATTATTGACTATTACAATTACGTAATTGATAAACAACAATACCAAGCAGATACCTGGGATCACGACGTGTGCTATCATAGTGACGACAAAAATAAGCCATGACACTTTTACCAACTGCGGCATCACCCAGCAGTGCATAGGCTCTGGATTCATGAGAACCACTAAACCACGTATCAAAATCATTCAGAAGCCACTGTATTGTATCCCGATCATACCGCGTAGCATAATAATCAATGTCAGCATCACAACTGTGGAAATCTGGAAATGACGATATAAACGACCGTTTAAAAGTACATGTGAGCGTTGCAAGAACGGTCGTTGTCGTTGAAATTTTTATGTGCTAATTTCAGCGCTATGTGATTTCAAAAATCTAGAGGGAATAATGTTCTTAGTTTTGCATCTTGGACGTATTAATATTTTTTTATAGAATATGTATACATCTTATTAAATGGTTTGACATATAGTCTGAACAGAAATTTTACAAGTTTGAACGAGTTGTGTTTGGAACCTTTGTACTTTAATTTTCATTGAAACATTTTAGAAATAAGTTATGACAATTGGTCTTTTATATTTAATATTTCATTTGTTTCTTTGCTAAGGAAATAAAGAAATAGTTAGCATTTCTCGGAAATTGCTATTTTCAGTCCTTTCTCACCGACGCTACTAACTTCCGGACAAAGGGCCTTCGCCCAAAACGTCCAAGTTTTTCTTGTATTTTTCAGGTAGTTGAATCGCTCTCAATACGCAGCTTTCTGGTGTTATTCTCACTACCTACGCTGGCACAGATCGTTTGAGTTTAATTTTTTTCGTGTCATTTTATAATTACTCTAACATTCTTCAAGTGTTCGTAACATTCCTTTCGAATCAGGAATAATTGAAAAAGCTGTACTATAAGGACGGGGCTTGGCCAGGGGCACCTGGCTGTTTGGGTGTAATCCACTGTCAGATTTTCGTGTTCTCATAAACATTTTTGGTAAAAACATGTCATATTAGAAAAAATCAGTATACCTGATATGTTAATAATATTTCTGTTCTAAAGAAAATAATAATGTGGCCCATTGGCAAAATTAATAATATATTACCAAAAGAACTTGTTTGGCCCTCTGTAACAATTTGTTGGACAGACGTTTGACTTGTCTGCAAGTGTTCCACTTCTTGTTGCAGAACCTCTTGATTGGTTGTTAGTTGAGCAATTTTGTCAGCATTGATACTCATGTTATTCTCAATTCGTACAAATCGCTTCTTGTATTCTTGTAACTCAATTTTAATATTGTGTAGCACCACCTTGAAGTTAATCATCTCTTCTGGTGACTTTCAAGTGCCATCTTCTCTACTTCACTTGACAATTTATTGACATGTTTTTGTATTACTTTGACAAGTTCAGAATCAATGTTAGCATTCATGCACAATAAATTATAATACCTGAAATAGAAAGAAAATAATCAGAAAACAATTCCTGGCACACTGAGCATTTTGCGGTCTCGCAAGCTTTGTACGCATAACAAAAGGAAGTTGTTACTTCCCCGGCCCCACCCCTAACCCCATCCAGGTATTATAAAGCATCTAGCAGCTCTGTTGTTCACTGCCTAAAATCAATTTTAATAATACATTTTTTCATCTACTGCTCTTCCCTAACTTTATTTGTACAGGTGTTGCTTTAGTATAATCGAATAAATGAAATTATGCCACCAAAAAAAGTCTCAGAGGTTATACTTATATTCTATTGAATATAGGCAGAATATACCAAGATGTTGCTAAGCACAAATAAATGCAGCTTTTATAGGAATGAGATTCCAAACTTCGCAAAAAATAAATAGTCTCAGCTTTGGGAGCAGCGGAGGATGGAGCTCAATTAATTGAAAGAAATTTTAAGAGCAAACGTCGATACAGCTTAATACGTCAAATTTGACCAATCAACTTGTAGGATTTGTTATGTTCACTTGTGAAAAAATACTAATTTCCTATACCTGTTGTCTTGGGAATGTTCTTTCTTAGAATTTCATGAATCTGTTTTTAGATCTCCAAAAATACAGCACCGGCTAAGAAGTTCTACCGGACCGCTAAATTGCCCAAGCGTGAAACCTTGATGTTAAAATATATAGTGGCGAAGCGACACATATAGCCGCTGGTCATGCTTGACAAATTATTAATTTTTTAATAACTATTCACATCTCTAGAAATTTCACGTTTTAAGAATATGTAATACATATCTATTTGCATGCATAGATTGAGCGGTTGCCATGGTTACTGCAGCATGGCGCATATCAATTGTGTGATTAGGGTATCTGTCCCTTTTAATAAGGCTGGTCCATAAGTATAGCATTGCAACTAACTAAGCCGCTGTTAAATTTCTTCAAATTTTAATTACATTTTCCTTATCCAAAATTTCACAATTTAAACATGATATAAGTTCCTTGTGTATAAGCGTAAGCAGTTCTGCAGGTCAAAGTTTCGTAACTCAAATTTTGTTTATCTATAGCTGTCCTTAGTTTAAAGCTTCAACTAATTTCAGCTTAACTATAACAGGTATATGGCTTCCACACTTTATCTCTTTGGCTGGATTTTAAAGTTTTCATGTCTAGTTTTTCTCCCTTTGTCACCAAAGTTTGGATTTCAATAAATAAAACTTTATAATTTTCATTTCTTGCGTCGTCATGGCAATGAATCTAAATATTATGTGCATTGCCCCTAAATGAAATTTTCCTCTCTAGCTGGCCTCTAAGTTCGTTAAAGTCTACCTTTCTTACTTTATCATAACCTTGGAAATTTAAAACTGTGAAATTTGTTTTATTTGCACTGTTCTGTCAACAAAGAGATATGAAGTGCGAAAACAACGACAGACGACGAAGTGTCCATGGTAGCGTTATGATGAATAAATTTCAAAAACTCATTAATTGACTACATGAGGAAAGCACAAAGAAAAATTATAAGCGTGTTGACACCATAGATATAGGAGACCTAGATTGCTGACTCTAATGTTTTCTATAACGCACGAGCGTGGCACTCATGAGCATTCAAAATGGCGGCTCAACCGGGCAAAAATCATAGGGCGAGATAGGGAAAAAACATGTTTTTCGCATTTTGCGTCGTCCTACAGCTTCCGATCCCGTTCTGTCACTTTATTTTGGCAAGAACTAACTGGTGTGAAGGTTTTGGATGAATATTTGTACAATTTAAGTTTAATAAAGACGAAATAATCGATCGCTAAATGTTATCTGAAAATCATCACATAGTCGGTTGAGCAGTTTGTTATAGAAAATAAAGGTTTTGGTTCTTTGGGTGCTTTTTTTCTCGAGGATCTCGGTTGGGATATGTAACAGGGAATAATATTGTGAAGTATTTTGAAGTTAAAACCTATTTTACTTGATTTATTTGGTCTGCTGGTGCGAAAATTCTGATGCTCTGTTTCGTGTGACTTTGACAACCTCCTTGCTGCTGCAGATGTCAAGGGATCTCAAGTCTATATGGCCTGGACAGTGAAAAGTGATGAATCAATCAGGTTTGTAGAGAGAACTAGTGACAGCGAAAGTTTTCAATGGAAACTAGTTTGAAGAAACTGACTAATTTGTCTGGTATGCATCAAAAACCTTCACAGTATCTAGTTCTCTCCAAGAAACCTGATTGATTCATCATTGATAATCAAAAATAGATGGGATGGCATCTTCGTTTAGATATTTCTTGGATAAGTTGGATTGGCCTTTTATTGATTGCTCTCCACAATCAGCACTCTCCCCTTTAGGCACTCTCCCCTTGAGACAGCTGACTTAAGCATCAGCACTTTCCCTTGACGAATAATATTGTCTGGCGTTAGACAGAGTAAAATAATAAAATAGGGCACAAAACGACTCAATGGGTTAACTAGACACATGGGCAGAT